TTTAGTTTTTTCATTATTTTAATAAGAAAATGAAATAATAAAAATAAAACAAAATTGAATCTTCTTTTCTTCTATTTTTTTGTTATTTTAAAAAAAAATGAAAAAACACAAAAAATACTAAAAATAAACTAATTATAGAAAATAACATTATTATAATTTTATTATTATTATATTATTAATATTATTATATATTTATTGTTATTGTAAAATTAATAAAAGTCATTTATTTAAAATAGAATGATGTTAAAAATAATAATTGACTTGATGTGTTAATACCTATTTAAACATCCATATTTTGAACTTATAAACATCAAATCAAATTAAAATGGAAGAGTTAATAAACAAGAACAACCAATTTTTTAAAGAAGAAGTAGAAACACTTCCAAACATTCAACAATCAATTGATGATACTACTAAGAATTATCAATATTATATAGGAAGTATTAAAAATGAAGTATTTAGAATAAAACCAGATGAAAGATACTCAGAAGCAATTAAAAGAGGAGAATGAATATTTGATAGGATTGATGAAACAGAAAGAAGAAGAAAAATAGTGATAGAAAAAAGTCAAGAAACAATCAATCAAATAGAAATAATGAAGAATAAAATGTCAAGAATCATAGAAGAATGTAATAATGATAAAGAAGCAGTAAGTAAAACACGGAATGAATTAATTGATAAAATCATTTCAATTGAAGAAATGAAAATGAAAAACAAAATATTCAGAAAACCAGAAGAGACAGAAATAATTACAGCAGAATTCAATAAGAATAAAGAAGAATGGCAAACATATTACAGTGATTATTTCTTGAGAAAGAAGAGAAAAGAAGAGGAATTAAGTACTACAGAAGTTGAACGAAATGTTCCAATTGAAGGAAGTATAAGATTGACAAGTTATGAAAAAGGAAAGTTGAAAATATATTTATATCCAAATCAACAGTTTAATCAAAAAGATGAGAATGATGCAATTGCTATTTTGGTTGTTGGTGAAACAGGAAGTGGAAAAACTACATTATTGAATAGTTTTGTAAATGGATTATACGGGATAAGAATAACAGATGACTTTAGATATATAATTATAAATGAAGGTGATTTAAAACAGTATGGAGATCAATCTATAAGTCAAAGAAGTCAAGTAACATTTTTTAATATTAAAAGAACAAAAAGAACACCACCAATCAAAATAATAGATACACCAGGATTTGGAGATACAAGAGGAATTGAATGGGATAAAGAAATTATTAAACAAATAGAAGAAACAATTGAAACAAAAGTATCAGATTTAAATGCTATTTGTTTTGTTGCACCATCAAGTCATGTAAAATTAACAGCAAGTCAAAAATATGTATTTGGGAATATTATTAATTTATTTGGGAAAGATGTTAAAAAGAATTTTATTGCAATGCTTACATTCTGTGACGGTGAAACACCACAAGTTATAAATGCATTACAATCAAAAGAATGCATTTTCAGTACAATTATTCCAGAAATAGACTCACCATGGTATTTAAAATTTAATAATGCAGCTATTTATGATGATAATACAGAAGATATATTTAAACAAATGTTTTGGGAATTAAGTATGAAGAGTTTTGATGACTTTATAACAAAATTAGTAACATTACCAAGAATATCATTAGAGAAATCGAAAGAAGTGTTAAGGAAAAGAAGGCAAATAAAAACTCAACTTGAAGGAATAAGAACATCATTAAACAATGGTTTATCAAAAATGAATGAAATAAAACAGATATATGAACAATTGTATTTGAATCGAGATAAAGTTAAAAATAATGAAAATTTTATTATTACTGTAGATAAAACAAAACAAATTAAAGTTGACTTAAAGTCAGGAGAATCTGCAACGAATTGTTTGAAATGTCATAAAACATGTCATTATCCATGTCATGTTCCATCTTTAATTTCATATTTTACAAATAAACTTTGTACATGCATTGGTGATAATGGAAATTGTAAAGTATGTGGTTGTAATTCATCACATCATGCAAATGAATCATATAGATTTGATTATGTAATTGAGAAAAAACAACAAAAAGCAAAAGAAGAATTTGAAAGATATAATGAAGGTAAAAAAGGTGTTG